TGGGTTGGATTCCCCAGCACCACATAAGCAAAAAGAAAAAAAGCCGGAAGTGGCGCTGTGGCTCAAGTGGTAGAGCGCTAGCCTTGAGCTGAAGAGCTGAGGGACAGCGCCCAGGCCCAGAGTTCAGGCCCCATGACCAGACCCCCCCCCCCAAAAAAAAAAAAAAAAGAAAACCAGGTCTTCTGACCCTTAGTCATGCAGCAGTTTTTTGAAAAAATGTAAGCTACTTAGAGTGACTATATTTCTAAAGATGACTAAGAACTACTAAGCAGTGACTAATAACCACTTTTTAGGCTTCAGTTCTTGTACCAAACATTTTCTTGGGACTAAGAATGTGGCTTAGTGATAGATTGCTTGCCTCAGCATGCATGAAGCCCTGAGTTTGATTCCTCAGTACCACATACACAGAAAAAGCCAGAAGTGGTGCTGTGGCTCAAGTGGTAGAGTGTTAGCCTTGAGCAAAAAGAAGTTCAGGGAACAGCACCTAGGCCCTGAGTTCAAGCCCCAGGACTGGCCAAAGGGAAAAAAAAAAGAAACCAAACATTTTCTTTGTTACTTGTAGCAAATTCAGAATTGGTTAAAGTGTGAGCACACAGTAGCAGGTTTTTAGTGCCTGCAGAAGTCTATTTTTAAAAGTTGCTAACTTGGCCAGTGAAAAACAATATAACATATAGCACAAATCTGCTCAAAATTGTGAGGTAGGAAGCTTTTATTCATTATTTTTCTTTAAACACCCTTTTCATACCCTTCACTCAATTTTATTTTAAGTGGTAAGCTATACTGCCAAGAAAGCAGGAAAATAGTGCACACAGAAGTATGAACTGGTGTTAACATTTTTGGAAGAAAATTTAGTAACATCTAAAATTTAAATGCAGAAACACTGATCCAACCATCTCACCGTTAAGAATACATCTAGGTGTGTGCTACTACTTTACTAAAATTCACTAACTCCTTTTCATAGCAAAGGATTGCTTTGTTTCAGAATCACCACCACTAACAAACTTAGTAGTACCCTGCCTTATATAGATCAAAGGTGCTTTCCTGACTGAATTAACACAGAGGGAAATAGAGGATGTTATTGCAAATTGGAGGGAAAGAGATCCTTATTATAGGACATAATTGTGTTCATCCTCCTTTGTGGAAAAATTGTGTGTGGTGAAATTAGACATCTGACACGTGCAATGATGAAGGAGCTGCATGGCTTCTCTTGAATTCTTAACGATGAAATTTACAATCCACCTAAGAAGATCCGAAGTAGATCTTAAAATCTGAAAACTACTCAGCCTGGTTAATAACTCTAGCTGTAACCCTAGCTACTCAAGAGGCTGAGATCTAAGGATAATGGTTCCAAGTCAGCCCTGACTGAGAAGTCCTTGAGACTCATCTCCATTAACCAAAAAGCTGGAAGTGAAGCTGTGGCTCAAGTGGTAGAGTACTAGCCAAGAGTGGACAAAGCCAAGCAAGAGAGCAAGGCTCTGGGTTCAAAAATCAGTTCAGGTCCCTGTTGGTGGCAATGAAGCAGAGGAACAGTGGTGGTGTAGAAGCAGAGAGCAAATAGCCAGGAAGGGACACAATAGGAGACTGAAGGAGGACATGTCAATGCACTATTCTCCTGGCTCCCACTGGCTTTCAGAGGTGGGTATGAGCTGTGGCAGCCAAGGTCACAGCAGCCTGGGGAGGTGAGGCTTGCCTGTGGCAACTACTGTGGGCTCCATGAAGTTAATAAAATAATAATAATAATAATTAACAACAACAACAACAACAGTAACAAACTCCAGTTCAGGCAACAAAACAAACAAACAAAAAAAGCGGTTATGAAGAAGCAGGATCTCAGGAGACATTGACAATGCCCTGACCATACACTGCTCATTTCTTTCTTTCTTTCTTTTTTTTTTTTTGGTTCCAGTCGTAGGGCCTGAACTCTGGGCCTGGGCGCTGTCCCTCAGCTCTTCAGCTCAAGGCCAGTGCTCTACCACTTGAGCCACAGCACCACTTCTGGCTTTTTTTTTTCTGCTTATGTGGTGCTGAGGAATCAAACCCAGGGCCTCATGCATGCAAGGCAAGTGCTCTACCATTGAGCCACCTTCCCAGCCTGAGACTGCTCATTTCCAGAACAACATTTTCTTTGTTTTGGCCAGTCCTAGGGCTTGAACTCTGGTCCTGAGCACTGTCCCTGAGCTCCTTTTGCTTCATGTTTCTGTGCTCGTATGTTACCCAGTTTAAGATTTTTTTTTTTTTTACAGCAGCCTGAACAAACTAAGCGTGCCACAGGACCCCAAATTTAAATTTTATCAACAAAGATCTTCCTTGTATTTTTCATATAAAGTAATTCTCGTACATTCTAGGTTTCAAGATGTGTGTGTTTTGGGAGGTGAGGTATTTTTCATCCTACCATGAATAACAAATATTCCTAAAACTGACATGGATAGCCACATTCAAAACAATGAAGGTGAACTCTAACTTACACTATATCCAAAAAATGACTCAAAATGGATCAAAGACTTAAATTACAAAACTCCTAGAATATAAAGGGGAGGCTACATGATGTAGAATTTTGCAATCAGGGCTGGGAAGGTGGCTCAGTGGTAGAGCGCTTGCCTTGCATGCACGAGGCCCTGGGTTCGATTCCTCAGCACCACATAAGCAAAAAGAAAAAAGCCGGAAGTGGCGCTGTGGCTCCAGTGGTAGAGTGCTAGCCTTGAGCTGAAGAGCTGAGGGAGAGCGCCCAGGCCCAGAGTTCATGCCCCACAACCGGACCCAAAAAAAAGAAAAAAAAAGAATTTTGCAATCATTCCCTACATATGACACTAAATTCACTAGCAATGAAAAAAAAAAAAGTAAATAGAACTGCGTCAAATTTTAAAACTTCTAAACAAAGGATACAACCGAGTGAAAAGAACTTTATTGAATTGAATAAAATATTTTAAAATTCATTTAGTTGATGAGGATTTAACATCTAGAATACATAAAGCACTCCTATATTGAACAATGATATAACCCAAATTAAAAATGGGCAGGAAGCTGGACACCGGTGGCTCTCGCCTGTAATCCTAGCTACTCAGGAGGCTGAGATCTGAGGATCGCAGTTCAAGGCCAGCTCAGTCAGGAACGTCCGTGAGTCTCATCTCCAATAAACCACTCAGAAAACTGGAAGTGGTGCTGTGGCTCAAGAGGTAGAGTGCTTGCCCTGAGCTGAAGAGCTGAGGGACAGAGCCCAGGCCCAGAGATCAAGCCCCACAACCAACCAAAAACAAAACAAAAAAAAAGGGCAGGCAAAGGGCTGTCAGGAAATTTCATGTTCCACCTTAAACATTTATATTCCTAATGAGCTTCACCTTGTGATACTTATAATTAATGTAGGAAAAGCAAAAAAAAAAAAAAAAAAGTTTCTTTATGAGAAGAAGCCCCAGGATCCCAAAGACAACCTACCTCTAAAAGTTCCACCTCTATTTGTTAACCAAACAAAGCTCAAATTTCAAATCCCTATTGAAATCAAACCTACAGAAATGTCATTGCAAAAATAAATAACTCGATGCAACCGATGACACAGACTACATTTACAAGGCTATTGTTTTTATATAAGCCTTGACCTTAACGAGCATTAAGTCATTCTCTTTGTGCACTAAGCAAAAGTGGATATAAAAACTAATAAAACACCAGACAAGACAGTAAGCCGGCTACTTGGGAAGAAGCAGAAATCAGGGGATCAAGGTTTAAAGGCCAGCCCAGGTATATCAACTCAATGTCTGGGTATAATGGTGTGTGCCTGTAATCACCAGCAATATGGGGAAGCACAAGTAGGAGGATCACAACCCAGGCCAGCCCCCGAATAAACCAAGACCTGTACAATAAGAAATGCAAAACAAGGCAGGCACTGGTGGCTGACGCCTGTAATCCTAGCTTCTCAGGAGGCTGAGATTTGAGAATCGCAGTTCAAAGTCAGTCTGGGCAAGAAAGTCCATGACACTCTTATCTCCAATTAATCACCAGAAAACTGGAAGTGGTGCTGTGGCTCAAGTGGTAGAACACTAGCCTTAAGCTGAAGAGCTGAGAGACAGCACCCAGACCCAGAGTTCAAGCCCCATGACAAAGGAAGGAAGGAAGGAAGGAAGGAAGGAAAGAAGGCAGGCAGGCAGGCAGGCAGGCAGGCAAAACAGTTCTGGGGGCATGAATCAAGTGGTGGTTCCTGCTTAGCCAGATTAAGGTTCTGAGTTCAATCTCTAGTACTGCCAAAATAAAACTCTCTTATCTCTCCCTAAGATGTATAGCTCAATACAAAATTTATGTACCTTGTTAATTATGCTAGAATTTACTTATATCTATTCTGAAATTAACAATATTATGAGTATTACATTCATTTGCAATAATCAAATTAAATGTGTAATTTTTTTTCCAGTGTTGAGGTTCAAGCTTTCACACATGCTGGCCAAACGCTTTATCACAAAGTTACATCCCAAGCCCTGAGAGTGTTTTGTTTTACCATTCACTTAACCTGGAGCTCCACAAATGCAAATATGTCTGTATTGATCAGTTCTGTAGCTATGGCATCTAACAGAACTGTTCAATAATGACTAGGTGGCAGAATGAAAGCACAATGACTAAAACAGAGGTCACGTTCCACAAATGTTCGCTGAACTAAATAACAATAGCTTCCTTGCTAATTTCTTTGTAACCAGAGATATAAAACTGTCGATATTCATTTACAATAAGGGATGGAAACCTACTCTAAAACATTAAATTTGTTCTCTACTTAATTCATCTCAAAAAAATTTTTTAAATGACAGGTACCTTATAATCCTGTTTACTCAGGAGGCTGAAATCGGAGGGTTGTAGATTGAAACTAGCCTGGACAGAAAAGTATTACCTTCAATTAACGAGCAAAAAGCTGGAAGGGAGGCATAAATGGTAGAGTACTAGCTTTTAGTGAAAAAGCCAAGAGCACAAGAGCAAACTCAATCCCTAGTACTGCCTCGATCCTCAAAAAAAATTAAGTGCCTCACCATTTCTGTGTGTCTCCAGAGATTCCTTCATAAGGTTTCTCCGGTCTTCATCTTTCTCAGGGATTTCACTGGACTTTGTCACTCGGTTTCTTAAAGCCATCTTCTCTTCACCCACCATGGAGTTGCCTAGGAAAGATGCAAAAGCTTTGAATGGCCAGAAGATTCCAAATGCTCTCAACAAAAAGAAGTGACATATATTTGAGATGACTGCTGTACTGTCCTGATTTGATCCTTGTACATTATATACATATATGGTAAGTCACTATACATTATTAATATGTATAATTATGTATCAATTTAATCTTAAAATAGAAATGCAGATGTAGCTCAGTGGTGGAGTACTTGCCTAGCACAAAATTCTTTTTAATTTCAAAATTTAGAAACTAAAAGCATGAACTAAGCACCAAACTTAGTTACTTGTACCGTACCACCATGTTTTAAAGTAAAAACTGAAATTGTTTTCCTTCTTCCTTTGGTTTGACTTTAATCACATTTAAGCATTTTCTAAGTATAAGGTATCACTGACAAATAAGTAGAAATTAGCCCCTCTGAAATGATTAGTTAAGAAGGTCAAAGACCCTTTTAGAGTAATCCTGGAGATATCATAGTAACTGACTTCAAAATATATTACAGACCCATAGCAAGAAAGTAGCATAGTGCTGGCACAATAATAGAGAAATACATGAGCAAAAGATACAGAAATAAACCCAAGCAGGGACTGCCACAGGATTCTTGACAAAGACACCAAAGAGACAAGAAAAAAAAACCTCTTCAGTCAATACTGCTTTGACTGAAAATAGATCCTATCTCTCACTTTGTACAAAAATAAACCCAAACTGGATCAAAGACCTTAAGAACTGCTGGGCACCAGTGACTCATGCTTGTAATCCTAGCTTCTCAGGAGGCTGAGATCTGAGGATGGAGGTTCAAAGCCAGCCCAGGTAGGAAAATTCATGAGGCCTTTGTCTCCCATTAACCAACACTCAGTCTACTTTACATTTTATCTTGACAATCTCACATATTATCCTCAGTATGTTAAATAAAAATGTCCCCAGGTGCTAGTGGCTCATATCTTAATCCTAGCTACTCAAGAAGACTGAGACCTGGGACTGAGAAGTGAAGATGGCAAGTTTGAAGCCAGCCTGGGAAGGACAGACCATGAGACACTCATCTCAGAAGCAGAGGTGTGGTTCAAGTGGAAAAGCATCAGCCTTAAGGAAAAAAAAAAAAAAAAGCATTGTTTCCAAGTCCTGAGTTCAAGCCCCAGTACTGATACCAAAAAAAAAAAAAAAAAGGGGCGGGGCTGGGAAGGTGGCTCAGTGGTAGAGCGCTTGCCTTGCATGCATGAGGCCCTGGGTTCGATTCCTTAGCACCACATAAGCAAAAAGAAAAAAGCCGGAAGTGGTGCTATGGCTCGAGTGGTAGAGCTAACCTTGAGCTGAAGAGCTGAGGGACAGCGCCCAGGCCCAGAGTTCAGGCCCCACAACCGGACCAAAAAATAAAATAAAATAAAATAAAAGCTACATATCTACTTTATCTCTTATATGTTAAATGATAATCAAACATAAGTTACAGTTCAACTTCTTCTTGTGTACGCTTTTAGATGTAGTTGATAAATCAAATGACATAATTATATGCTCTTCAAATGCAGTTGAAACAAACTAACTTTGTCTTCTATACAGATGTGTAAGAAAGAGATCAATCACTGAAAATGGTTCCTTTCAATTGTAACCAAGTCTTCCTATCATGTAAATTCTAAGATGAAGTCTGAGTTGAGCTCTTCCTCCTCGTATGCCAGCTAATTATATAGCATTGTTTATTCAGGAAATGGAGGTGATCCTCGGCTAAATTCTTCCTCTTCTAGGCAGATCACGTTGGCCCTCGTGCAGAAACAGAGCACTGTAAACACTGAGAACAAGCAAAGGAACAGTGTGCAGAGCACACACCATCCAGGTGAGATACCAGCCAACTTACCTTTTTGACCGCCACATACAAAAGAACCTGTGTGCATCCATCCCCTTAACCAACCTAGATAGCAGCAGGGCAAAACAAACTACTTCAGGTGATGCAAAGTCAAAAATTCAAGCTGAAGCCTGGTAATTGTGGCTCATGCCTATAACCCTAGCTACTCAGGAGACTGAGATCTGAGAATCCCTGCTTGAAGCCAGCCTAAGTGGGAAAGTCTGTGAGACTCTTAACTCCAATTAACCACCAAAAAGCCAGTCATGGATCTGTGACAAGGGGCAGAGTGCTAGCCTTGAGAAAAAAAAAAAAAAACCTAAGGGCCTGTACATCAGTGGCTCATACCTGTAATCCTAGCTGCTCAGGAAGCTGAGGTCTGCAGATGGCAGTTCAAAGCCAGCCAGTGAGAAAACCTTGTCTCCAATAAACCACCAGAAAACCTGAAATGGCGCTGAAATTGCTTAAGTGGTATAATGTTCACCTTGAGCTGAAGAGCTCAGGGACAGCACCCAGGCCCAAATTTCAAGCCCCACGACCACCACCAACAACAACAAAAAGTAAGGGGCAGAGTCCAGACCCTGAGTTCAAATCGAGCCCCAATACCAGCACACATTCAAACCCTCAAACCAAGCACTCAGAAGGCTGATGCAGGTATACACATGTATGTGCCTAAAGCTATATGTGTGTATGTATGTTCAAACTACATAGTTAATGTTAAATGAATTTTAAGTGCTAACATAGATCATTACCCTATGTGAGGTGAAGCAGTCTTGCCCCTCCTATTAATACAGGGCCTGAAGTGGGAGTTATTATGTATTACACTCCCATATTTTCTATTACTTCAAGGTCAGCCAGGTTTGACACTTGTCCTTGTCTTCAGATATAGTTTTACTGTCACACTCATCATTTACTGAGGATCAGAATACTCCACTCAGTCCCCTTGTTCTTTCTGCTACTAACTCTTCTGTATTTCTTTTAATTGGATGCATTTTTTTTGGGGGGGGGGGGGGCCCGGTCGTGAGCCTGAACTCTGGGCCTGGGCGCTGTCCCTCAGCTCTTCAGCTCAAGGCTAGCGCTCTACCACTTGAGCCACAGCGCCACTTCCGGCTTTTTTTTTCTTTTTGCTTATGTGGTGCTGAGGAATTGAACCCAGGGCCTCAGGCATGCAAGGCAAGCGCTCTACCACTGAGCCACCTTCCCAGCCCTGCATTTCTTTTATTTCAACATCCATACATACATCTATACAGTGCCCTGGCTCCAACTACAACTTCTTGCCTCCCACAGCTGTTCTTACATCAGTCACGCCTTCCTCGGTCTAGACAGTACTGTTAACCCTCCCACCACCGGGGTCAGACTTCTGTAAGTACATGCAAGAACTTAACATTTCCATATAATATTTCATAGACTTCTCCAACATGGCAAAACTTGAAACACTGACATACTTGCAACTCTAGTTGCTGTCTTCTCCACTTCAGCAACCATTTATTTGCCCATCTGCTGCTATTCACTTAGGAACCACCTTTGATTAGTTACCACTCTCATCTGACCCCAACAGCATGTCCATTTCACATTACCTTCAAAATATATATAGTTCTAATCTCTGACTTATATCTGCCGCTTTCACTATAGTGTCTCCTAACTAGTCTCCCTTCCCTTTTTATTCCTCTCTTTAATTTTTCTTTCAAACACAGCACCAGAATAAGACTTTCTTTTTTTTCCTTCCGGTTGTGGGACCTGAACTCTGAGCCTGAGCGCTGTCTCTCAGCTCTTCAGCTCAAGGCTAGCCTTCTACCACTTGAGCCACAGTACCACTTCTGGCTTTTTCTGCTTATGTGGTACTGAGGAATCGAACCCAGGGCCTCATGCATGCAAGGTAAGTTCTCTACCACTGAGCCACCTTTCTAGTCCCAGGACTTTTTAAAAAGTTAGTCAGGGACTAGGAATCTCGCTCAATGGCAGAGCACTTACCTGGCACATATGAGACTCTGAGTTTGATCTCCAACATTGAAAGGGGGAAAATAAACTAAAAGAAGCAACAGAGATTTTTAATCAGAGAGTGACCCAGTATTTATCTTTAGGAAGATTAACTCAGAAACAAAGTAGAAGATATGTTAGAGAAGACAAGATTGATAAATACAACAATGAGTTCACACACAAAGGCCTGAAGGCAGGCTCATATGACATGTATTTATTAAAATAAGAAGAAAAAGATAAAGGAAATGACATACATTTACAAATATTAACCTCAAGAGTCTAAGCTATCCAGCTGCTCCATGGAGATCCCAAGTGAGTTTGTTAACTCACTGACAAAAGCTACAGATGTGTGATTATGCCATGTAATTATAGGTGGAAGAAAAAGACAAGCAGATCAACTATTACATGCCTGTAGGCTAGCCTAGTGACTATGACCAGCTGAATACACAAGTCAGGGCTAAAGATAGAGATTTGGGATTCAGCAGTGAACTGGAAGCTAAGAACTCCAAAGAAGTGAATTAAGCACTCCTCCAGAAGTTTCCTAGGAAATAACCAAACTGACATTTACATAACTCTTCTTTAACAAAATCCATGCCCTAGATAGGACTACTGCATTTTGTAGGCAGACAAATAATCTTCCCAATACCCAGGGGCTTTCAAAGAACTAAGTAAAAAGGAAAGGCATAGAAGAAATTATAGAAGAAGCAGGAAGAAATGACGGTAGACTCAGAAACAAGCAATGCTAGAAAACAAGAGGATATGAAAGGGGTTATCTAGAGTCAACACCGTGGAAAATTCAAGAAACACACACACTCACAGGACACGAGAAGGACATTTCACAATAGCTATGCCTTACTTAATTCTACATACAGTTTCAGGAAGAAGGACAAATATATTGGTGTAGATTGCAAAATGAGTGAAAAGCAATCATGAAACTAGTCTCTTAAGAGCTCCAGCAGTGAAGGAACTGGAAACTAGAGTTTACCAAGCCAGCACCATTTACAAGGCTGAGTACTACCATAGTGTCCTACACTTTATTTACCATGTCCACTCTATTTTCAAAAATGCAGGAGATTTATGAATGCTAAGAACCTTGTTCAGTCACACAGCCAGTGAGTGGCAGTGGAAGTATCTCCCCAACACACTGATGTAAATTGGCTGGCTGGATGAAAAAAATGTAAGGAGCCAATCTGTGCATTAGATAGATCCTGTTCTGTGCTGTCGAACTTATCTTCAAAAGGCATGCAAAAAGAATTAGTCTGAGGGGCTGGGAAGGTGGCTCAGTGGTAGAGTGCTTGCCTTGCATGACTGAGGTCCTGGGTTCGATTCTTCAGCACCAAATAAGCAAAAAGAAAAAAGCCGCTAGTGGCGCTGTGGCTTAAGTGGTAGAGCGCTAGCCTTGAAGTGAAGAGCTGAGGGACAGCACCCAGGCCCAGAGTTCAGGCCCCACAACCGGACCAAAAAAAAGAATTAGTCTGAGAAACACATGAACTGTGTTTCCAAAGGTCTATAAAACCATATTGTGAATAAATATTGTCTACTTCAGGGAAGAACTTTGCTATATAATCCTGAGGGACTTCCCTGAAGTACAAGAGAAACAACTGTAAAAAAAAAAAAAAATGAACTGTCTCCCAAAAAATACTGGCCCCAATTATAACCCTACTGCTTGTATAGCAGACTAGGTCACAATGTCAGCTTAACTCCAAATGCATTTACAACTGTATGATTAATACAACCATTTACCCAAGATGGCAACCAATCCCAGAGGGCAGGCAGTCTTCTGGGCCAGACCCTGAGAAGATGACTAGTTCAATTTTCATGAAATTTCCTAGATCTCCTTAACCAACACAACTCATTACAATTGATAATTAACTGATGGCAGCATGCTAGGGAAGCTAGGAATGACTGTCTTCCAGGGGAAGTGTTATCTATGCTGATACCTGAGGGGTCCTCAGGGTTGGCAAAACGAGATTGAGAAATGGGAGAGAATAAAGGCCAGGAGATCAGAGGTGTCTGTAGGAAGGAGACTGGGGTTATTAAAAAAAACAACAACAAAGCAAGTGTAAGCCTTGAGCCTGGAGAGGCAGGAGGAAAAAGCCTTGAGCGGCTGGCTGGACACAGAGGAAGAGTGAGCTCACTCCCATCCTGGTCTTTATCCCAAAGACAATGTGAAACCTTTACGGCTTCCAACCACGTGATGTACCCAGACTCGTGCATCTCTCCACGCGGACTCTTCCCTCCACCCACTCCCGGGCCACCCCAGCACAGGTTTCCTTCGCAAGGGAGTCACGGTGCAGCCCAGCAAAGACAAGCGAGATGAAACAATTCTCCCAAGGTGAATTCTGCATTAAGAGGAGGAAGACTCTGAGAAGAAGAAAAAGTAGTTTAAACAAGTGGCAGCTACTTAAATATTAAAGAGACAGTGCATGTAAACTTTCTAACTATGCATGCCTCACCAACGACACTGCTGTGGGCATTTAAAGCCAAAGATAGTGACCAGCCTAAGACTCAAAGACAAAGCCTGATGTGTTGGATTGAGGGATCGTCTCGGTACCCGCCCGTCCCTTCCCACACTTTCTTTCCCCTGAACCCAACAACAGCTGTCTTCCCGCGTCCATGGCTCTGCTGTTCAACTTTGGGAAGAATAAACCGTCTCGTAACCCATCAACTTTCTCCGGCGCCAGCTCAGAGGTGTCACTGGACTCAGGGGACACCCAAGGAGCGCACAGGGTTTCAAAGGCGGCCAGCGATCCGGATGCCCGAGGGGAACTTTCCCGCCCTTCCCACTCGGAGGGGCCTTCCCGCCCCAGGCTGCTGGGGGCCACGTCGCCTCCGCGCAGGCGAGGACCAGGCCAGGCCCGCACAGCCTCCACCCGTCCCGCTCCTTCCAGGCAGAGGGAGAAGCCGAGGGGGGCAGGAGGGGAGGCGATCCAGGCCCGAAAGAAGGGAGGGAGGGGGAGCATCAGGTTACCTGGGGCCAGAGAACGGCTGCAGGAACACAGACAAAGAGGGCGGCCGCTGCGGCCCGCTGGAGAGAATGCTTCCGAAAGATGTCCCAGCGCCCAGGGCCCAAAACGCCAGCCAGCAGCGCCCGCCGCGGAGGAAGATAAAGCAGCCGACACCGCCCCCTCACCCCCTCCGCCGCCCTCCGCCCCCAGCCTCCCAGCCCGCCCGGCGGCGTCACGCGCACGGCCCTCGGGCTCGGGATGCCATTGGTGGTCCCGCGAGCGCCAGGCCACGCCCATGGCCACGCCCCCTCCCCGGCCGCGCGGGTACCCGGAGCCCCAGCCCAGCGCCGGCCCCGGCCGCAGGAGACGCGGGGGCCGCGGATCCCCGCGCGTGCCGGTAGCTCGCGCGACACGGACACAACGGCCTTGCTTTCCACTCCCACCCCGGCGATCGCGTGTGCGGAGGGCAGAGTCGCGGCCGGGACAACTTCCCGCAAGTCCGAAAGGACAGGCCGCCTGGACCGCTGCTTCTGTGGACCCCCCGAAGCCCGTGTCTGGGGAGCAGTGGGGCGGCCGAACCCATCGTGCAGGAGCAAAGCTGAGGCGGTTGGCGACAACTTGGGCCTTAGGCCGCCTTGTATCTAAAAACTGCACTGGACCTTGACCTTGAGCAGCGAGAGCACTAGATAAGGAGACCGAAGTGAATCCCGTGAAACGCTGGGGTGATGTAGTCGTTGCAATTTAGGGTTCTTGGAGCCGGTGGCTGGCTCAGGAGGCTGAGAGTTCTGAGGGTCGAAGTTCGAAGCTAGCTGGAGCAGGAAAGTCCGTGAGACTTTTACCTTCAGTTAATAACAACAAGACCGGTAGAGCTGTTGCTCCTGGGGTAGAGCACTTAGCCTTGAGCAAAATCTCAGGCCCAGCGCCCAGACCCTGAGTTCAAGCCCCAGGACCTGCACACATACATTAAAGAGACCCTGCTGCTCATTACTGGAAGAAAAATGATGCAGAAAGATTTAGGGCGTAGATTAGATCCGAGAAACGGCTTAGATTTCACGAAGGCAAAGGTGTCAGTGAATTGAGGATAAAGATAGGTGAGGGAGAATGCTGAGAAGCAAGATTCCACTGTCACACAGTGAGTGCTAAGCAGTGTCAGCTAACCTGGCAGGTTGGTCACTCCATTCCTGCTCTGCTGGATTGGTCCTTCCTGACCAGATCAGACTGCAGTAACTACTCTTTTTTTTCTTTCTTTCTTTCTTTTTTTTTTTGGCCAGTCTTGGGGCTTCAACTCCGGTCCTGGGCGCTGTCCCTCAGCTCTTCAGCTCAAGGATAGTGCTCTACCACTTGAGCCACAGCGCCACTTCTGGCTTTTTCTGTTTATGTTGTGCTGAGGAATCGAACCCAGGGCCTGCTGCATGCGGCGCAAAAACTTTACCACTGAGCCTTCCCAGCCCAGAAACTACTCTTGTAGGCCTTTTAACCATGTGTATTTTAGGCAGGGTGTTGATGGCTCGTTTGTATAATCCTAGCCTTTCAGGTGGCTGAGATCTGAGTTCAAAGTCAGCCAGGGACTTGCGTAAAAAAGGTAAGGGAGAGTGCCTTTTGTTTCAGTTAAAACAAAAACATGTGGGGCCCAGTATGGTGGTTCAAGCCTGTGATCCTAGCTGGGCACAGATAAGGGAAATGTAAATTCCAGGTTAGCCACTCCCCCGTCAAAAAAAAAAAAAAAAAAGATCTCAGGAGTCCTATGGCAACCACCTTCTGGGTGGTGACAGGTGCCTGTTATCCAGCTATAGAGGAAGCACCACAATGGGCCCCGTGACTTGGGTCTGTCATCCCCAGAGACATAAAAGCGTGAAGTGGAATCCTATTTCAAAAATAGCCAGCGCAAAAATTGGCGAAGAGAATGGCTCAAGTAGTAGAGGCATTTACCCACAAGCACAAATAACACATATGCACATTCACCTAGTGGTTTCGGTGCAAGGGGTATTGCAGTGGGTCTAACAGTAACCTCTACAGGAGAAACATGAGAAAAAAATGGGAGAAATAAGTAAACAAGATAATTGCAGGCTTGATAAGTGTTAAGAAAACAAAACATTCCTTAGAGCAGGATGTGAAACCATGGCAAAAACATCACTAAAAGCCTTCTTGCTGTTTCTTAAGGAAAGGTACAGTGTGTTTTAGGACATAACTTTGATACAACAATTAATGGGTTAGATTTGTAAGAACAAAGGTATACAGGATTTTCGGAGGTGACCTAAGCTTAGACCTAACGTGGAAGAGTCAGCTGTGCCAACTATAGGAAGAAGGATCATTCTAGACAGGATGGTAAGTGTGAAGACTTGTGCTGATCAACTGAGGAACAAGAGGCTGGAACACACTGGAGCCCAGGAGGAAGGGGGGCTGAGGCTGGAGCATTGAGTGGAACCCAACCACATTATTTGTTGAGAAGTGCAAAGGAAAGATCATAAAGGATTTGGGGGTTTTTTGTTTGTTTTTGTTGGTCATGGGGCCTGAACTCGGGCCTGAGCGCTGTCCCTCAGCTCTTCAGCTCAAGGCTAGCACTCTACCACTTGAGCCACAGCACCACTTCCACCTTTTTCTGCTTATATGGTGCTGAGGAATTGAACTCAGGGCCTCATGTAAGCAAGGCAAGCACTCTACCACTGAGCCACCTTCCCAGCCCCTTTGTTTTCTTTCTATAAACCTGTTTTACAGATGATAATTTGGAGAGGTACATGATGGAACAAAGAAATGACAGGAAATTATTGGGCAAGCCCACTGGATGGTAGTTAGCCTAATTAGATTAGTAGCTGTAGAAATAAAAGATTTCAGGATACTTCCCTGAGGTGCAAGTGGGAAGAAAGTACACAAGGTAACTCTAGGACATTTACCTTAAGCAATTGAGATAAAAGCCATTTAGTGCAGAGGTGAAGATGTATGATCGGAGAGAGTCCACAAGCCTCTGACCAGTGTGTCTCACCAGTGTCCTGAAAAATCTCACATTCAGTCCCTGGGGTCAGGGTTTAGGTCAATGCTAAAAGATATATGTAAAAAATGCCTATCAAACTGGCAGGTGCTAGACAGTGATCAAGTGGATCAAGTAGTAGAGCACCTACCCAAGAAAATGTGAAGCCATGAGTTCAATCCTCAGTCCTTCCAAAAAATAAAGTACCTAACAAATAGGACCATAGTTTATATTAAATGAGTTAAGCCTTTCAAAGTTTTACATACAGATCCCCATTTAATGTGTGCAGCGATTCTCACACGTGACTACTAGAAGCTCTCTAACTGAGAGCTACCTGAACTTAGTAGTTTAGTTGGTAGGATTGGGAGGAACATGGCAAACAAAGGAAAAAAGTCAAAAGGCCAAAAGACCAGAGTCATCGAGAAAAGATGCACAAGGCCAAGTATTGTTAAAGTACTAAGAGGTATGACACATTCTGATTCAGGCTCTCTTAGACAGTGGGGAGCCAGGAAAGGAAGTTAAGTAGGAAGGAGTCATGGCTCAGGAGCTCATACTGGAGGAAGATGCATCTGGAGGTGGATACATTAATTGAAAGGTAGATGTGGTAATAGAGGTGGCACATGACAAAGACCTAAACTCAGGCAATAACCCAGGTGGATACAGATGGGGGATGGGGGAGGATACCTGAGAGATATTTAAAGTGACAGCTGACAGATCGTGTTTGGCTCTGAAGGTTAAGGATGTATTCAGAATTACCAGAAGGCGGCCAGGCACCGGTGGTTCATGCCTGTAAACCTAGCTATTCAGGAGGCTGAGATCTGAGGATCATGGTTCAAAGTCAGCCCGGGCAGGAAAAGCCATGAGACTCTTATATCCAATAAACCACTCCAAAAACTGGAAGTGGCACTGGGGCTCCAGTGGTAGAGTGCTTGCCTTGAGCTGAAGAGCTGAAGGACAGCACCCAGGCCCAGAGTTCAAGCCCATGACCCACAAGAAAAAAAAAAATGACCAGAAGACTGGGTGACTAGAGTTAATAACTGAGGTAAATAAAAATATATCCTAGAGAAGGAGTAAGAATAAGTTTTATACCAGTTCATATGTAAACTCTTATTACTTCCCCTATTGAAACATGAAGGCTTTTTGTTTTATTTTACAAATAAGAATCAACCAAGCTTTATTTTCATAATACTTTTTTTTTCTGTCAGTCAAGGGGCTTGAACTCTTGGCCTGGGAACAATCCCTCAGCTCTTTAGCTCAAGGCAAGTGCTCTACCACTTGAGCTACAGTACCATTTCCGGCTTTCTGGTGGTTTATTGGAGATAAGAGTCTCATGGACTTTCCTGCTCTGGCTGGCTTTGAAATACAATCCTCAGATCTCAGCCTCCTGAGTAGCTAGCATTACAGGCGTGAGCCACCGGTGCCCAGTTTAGCTTTTTTTTTTTTTTTCTGATTATGTTAATATGCACACTTCTTGCAGAAAAATAAAATCAAATACAGAAAACTACTAAGCTTAAAGCCATCTGTGGTATTTTCCTCAAAGATACAGCTACATTTTGGTGTGGAGAAGGAAAGAATGGCTGGAACCTGAATTCTGGGCCCCACTGCCAGAAGGCTCCATGTTCTAACAGAGAGCCTAAAGGGGGCACTGAAGAGGAACCAAGTCAGATTTTAAAACACGAACTCACCTCACTTTCTCAAAGGACCTCATCTCCCTTAATGATGTCACACAGGAAATAAGTCTTCATTGCATTCCACTGGCAGGCCAGCAAGTGGGAAATAGAGAAGAGTCTAAACCATAGTAGAGAGCTTAGATTGAAGAGATCCTGAGAACCTGGGGAACTGGAATCCTGCCTTGTTTGTGTATTCCTGAAGCACGATACCTGTATATCATCTGATAAATGTACTGACAAAAATTTTAGTCAACTGTAAGTAACAGGCTGGGGTAGGAAGATCAAGAATTCAAGCCCATCCTGATAACAGGGTTTCAGTCCACTGGGCTAAGTAATGAGACCTTGTCTCAAAAGCCACGTAGCAGTGAGATTGATTGGAACTATACTATAAACGTGTGACGAAATACCACAGTGAAATATTTTGTATTACTAATATAAACTAAAACCTATGTAAAACAAGGCTGGACATAGTGACATACACCTATAATTCCAGCTCTGCCAGTG